CCAAAAATTAAAGTGTAACATAAAGATGACCAATTTTAGTTTTTTTCTTTATTTGATATCCACAAAAAATTATAATTCCAAATTAAATGTGTTATATTGTAAACTTTTAACGGTTTGAAACAAGTATATTTTATTTATTAAACCCATCAATATACTATACAAAAATATTTAAAACTTTAGATAGGTAAGTACGATTTTAAAACAAAAAGTCACAAAAAGTTTTAATAAAAAGAATCATAACATTAACKAAAAAAATGGTGTGAGAAAATTAATTAGTGAGTTTAGGAATTTTAAAGTTGTTAGAATGTTAAAGTTGTCAATAATCTCTTAACCAATGCTATCAAAAGGAAACCTTACTCCTCCACAAATTGTGGATCCAAAAAAAACATAATAATTCACAAATGAATCGATGTGAAAGATGAAAATTATAGAAAAGTTGCATTCCAACATCTCTGTTGAGATAATGCAGATGTCTCGATAGAAACAAAATATATTACAACTTGTCTGATCAATAGATTTTTTTTACCTACGTATTTGATGCAAGAAAAAAGACAACCAATAATTTTTTTAGAGAACCGTAGTGAATATTGATAAATTAGACATATAAAGTTGTGGATTTTTGCAAAAGAAGATATCTTCCATATGCATATGATGTAATTTTTATTAATAAACAGTCTATTTCTTTTCACATATAATATTGTATATTTCCAACAATTTACTCCAAATGCTTAATCTTCTAATCTAGATAATTATTTAGTACAATAACAATTTTTTGTAATACTAGGTGAATACCCGCGCATAAGCATGTAAAATATGCAACAATTTCCAAAGCTCTAGTAACCTCTATTTTAAATTTTGTAACAAGAATCAAATGATGCTAATTGATGATGTACTTTTTTTTTAAATGAAAAATGATCTTCGTTTTTGAACTCACAACCCAAAATATAAGTATTATTGAGAAAAATAAAGTCATTTGAGGTGATTTGTTTAACATCTCACATTTTTTTTTCTTTTTCTTGTTCAGCCGCTTACACCTCTCATAAACATGTTGTCTCCAACTTTGGAGAGATTGTTTCTCTCTGATATCCCAAGTTTGGTGCAACTTCCTTCCTCTATCCAGAATTTCAGTGAACTTGTGCATTTGGTAATTAGAGAATGCATTAATTTGGAGACTCTTCCCACTGGCATCAACTTTCAGTATCTCGATGACCTTGATCTTACGGGATGTTCACGGTTGAGGACTTTTCCTGATATCTCAACCAACATCTCCGAGCTCTGTCTATCCCGAACAGGGATTGAAGAGGTTCCTTGGTGGATCGAGAACTTCTCTCGGCTGAGATACCTATATATGAATGGATGCGACAATTTACAATGTGTATCACTACACATTTTAAAACTGGAGGATCTTGAGATGGTTGAATTTTCCAACTGCAGGGCATTGACTAAAGCTAGCTTGAATGATAGATTAAGTGATGTGGCAGTGGCAGTAGAGAATATTCACTCTGAATCTACTCCGGACAATTTCATCATCAACTGCTTCAACTTGGTTGAAAAAGCTTTCTTTCAGGGGAAAGTTTTCTTCAAGTTCATGATATTGTCAGGTGAAGAAGTGCCTTCATATTTCACTCACCATACTACTGGAACCTCTCTTACCAACATCCCTATACTTCACACCTCTCTTTCTCAAACGTTCTTCAAAATTAAGGCTTGCGCCGTTGTTGATTCCGAATCTTCTCTAACTGATGGATTCGTCTTTCACATCCATGTATCTTGTCGGTTTGAAGATAGACTTGGGAACCACTTTGATTCCTCTTATCAATCACCTGAGTTTTTGAAAGATGAGAAGGGTATCCACCTTGTTATATTCGAGTGCTCTTTCCCTCTAGACGAAGACGATACTTCTCTAGTTGAACTGAACTACGAACACATGGATGTCCATCTTCATATAAGTAATAGTAGTTACTCAACGTCCAAATTGAAAGGTTGGGGTATACGGCTCTTCGAGGATTGTTCATCACATGAGAGCGGACTTAATAATCCAAACTCTCTTCCACATGTTTGTGAAGCCGATGAAGACAATATGCATGGGAATACACCTCTAGACGGGCTTGCTAATGAGACTGAAGACAATGAAGAGTCCGGAGACAACAATGTAAACACTGAGAGAAGCTGGAAGCGAATGCGGGTAATCATGTGTTGAACAGAATACTATATATCTCATAACTTTTTTTTAAGATTGATCTGAAACTTTTTTGTATGATTGACCATTGTTTTTGCAGATTACGTGAAGTACCACTCTGAAAAACAGAGTCAGAAGTCGACGATCTCTGAATGTAGTGCCCCTTTTCTTTCACGGGAAAGGTGAGTGATTAACATCCCATCTCCCTTGCTGTAGCTGCGTCTTGGATTGTTCCTAGATTCAAGTATTGTTATTTTTGTCTATTGCAAACATTAGCCTCTCCATCTATAAATATATGTATACAATAACTTTACTATCAACACAACACCTCGAAATCAAGAACTCAAACATCTTTTAAATAAAAAGAATTATAGTTCAGAATCACTAAGGTTTACAAAACATGTAGTTCTCTACATCAGTATGCATCTCATTTGTTGTGATCACAGTAGTCATGTCGTCTTTGGCTCCGACCAAAGTACAAGAGGAGAAAGTGGCATGCGTCCCAGCGGAACTTAAGATATGTGTACCAGCAGCACAAGCCGGAACTAAACCGTCGTCGGAATGCTGTGCAAAACTGAAAGAACAACAGTCTTGCTTGTGTGGTTACATCAAAGACCCATCCTTTAGTCAGTATGTTACTTCTGGTGGTGCTAAAAAAGTCTTAGCAGACTTTGGTGTTCCCGTTCCTAAATGTTGAAGTTTTATAAATACTAGTTGATAACCCGCACATACGCGCGGGGTTGTTTCAATAACTTTATATAAACGATGATCCTATATAACTTTTTAAAAATTTGATAAACTACAAAATCAGTTCCTCATCATTATGCTAAAATAGAGTATTCATTTTTTCATAAATACTATTTTTCCTAATTTATTTGATCACATAAGTTCAATCTAAAAGAGGTGGATGGTTTTATTCTTGCTGATTAAAATTGATCTTAATCAGAATGCTCTATTTAAACAGAATTACAAAATTTTCTAATGATTTCATTCATAAAGGTTTACAGACTTTGGGGTTCATAAATCCCAATACATGATCTAAGCTTAGAAAGCATAGACTTATTTTGTGTGGAAGTTAAAAGATGAAGATACAATTTGTCTTGGGCACAAACAGTTGCCACAATGTAAAAGAAAACAAATTTGTCGCTTACGGTCTCTTTCTTCTCGTACAGAAAAATGACAAAGAACATAACATGGCTTGCCTTATATGCCGTTTTTCTCGAATTTTTGAACAAACAATCCAATATATTATCGACTTTCAAAAACCTCTCATTTTGCTTGTTATATGACTAATAATCATGGATAACATTCGACTGTAATTTTTGTGCCCTTTTAATAATGTTCTATGTACCATACTTATCAACTCTACAAATCCCATCTCACTGTTTGCGTTAAGATGGTAAAGCAAAGAATACCATACTTGCATGAACCTTTTCTTTGCTTGGTCCTTTATTTTCCTTACGACACCATTAGTAAGCTTGATCCTTTATTGCCCTCTGCTCTCCATTACCAAACTTGTTCATGTTTTTCTTCTATTTTGTGTGGTTCTTGTCCTGCATGTGTGTGTTTTTTTGTTTTGATTAGTTTTTAAGAAATCAAATGTGGTTACTTACTTTTAGGATTTCAGATTACCTATTTAATTACATGTCCCTTTGTAGTGGAGGTTGTTGATTGAATCCATTATCGCTTCGTAACTCTATCTGTCTCTTACCATTGATTTTTTTTCAAATTGTTGATGCATGGTGTTATTTTCCGGCAGTGGCATTTCCGGGAAATCCGTGGGGGACTTATCTCTTTGACTGAGTAGCGTCTAAAGTTCTATTAGAACATATTGTTGTACTTCTCCATCTTTCAATTGTAACTCTTTGTAGTCAGAACCTCTTACGCTACATGTGTAAAACATCCTCTCCAAGTTTTCTCCAACAATTGTTCCACATTTTGAGAGGGTCAGCAACTTGACAACATGATAAGAGTATAACAATTAACTCACGTAACTGTGGTGCAGCTGCCCATTGTGCTGAGTCGCTAATTGCTTAATGCCATTCTTTATCTTTTTGTAAATCCATGGTGTGCAATCTGTGACTGAGTAAGATAGACAAAAGAAGAGTGAACGGTTGTAATAATATGCAACGTGAAGTTTGGGAAAAAAAAAAAACAATGCAAGATAACGTACGTTTGAAGTTGGAAAGGATTTGCGATGCGAGTAGCAACAAACGTTTGAGTGAGTGTATATGTTTTTTTTTAGTGAAAGTATTTAGTGTTTTACATCAATTTTGCTTTTTTGTATTTGATAGATACATCTGATATATGGATCCTTTAAATTTAGACTTGATTGAATTGTTTATATGGATCCTCTTATTGATCATCAAAGCTTGTGTATAGATCTACGTACCTGAGTCTTTCCTTCGGATATATA